TTTTTTAATGGTTTCGCAGTGCCCATTTTTTAGTAAGCGCGATTTTCTCCTTCGTGGCGACTTGGAAATCGATTGGCGACCATTGTTCGAGTTATACGTAGAGGTTTCATACAAAAACCTTGAGGTTTGTCGTGCATAGTATTATCCCATTCAAAAGTTTGCGATAAAGAGTTGTCAGAGCCATACTTTTCTGTTTATCAGATGGTGAGAAGTTAATCTGGCGCTTTGCGTTAGCCTTTGCTTGTGAATTTCCTACTGTCCTTCTAGGAAGATGGAATTTTTCTAATGCCAGATGGATTCCGAGCAGAATTACAAGCTTACATATCCCATGCAAGAAGGTATTTTTCTGACGATGCCCCTCAACAGTTACTGGACGAGGTTTGACTTGCAATAAATGCGATTATTTAGGCTACAAAACTTTATTTTTGTACATAATTTTAGTTGCGACCCTTGATGTGTGTCTGGGATGAGTCAATAGTAAGAGCTTGGAGGTTACTTGAGCTTTTCATGCCAATGAATTTACCTCCCGAGAGGCAGTTAACTCATGGTAAGTTGATCGTAAACGATCATTTTTTTACTTCTTTTTTTAAGGTTTTTATATCAGCTAAGTATATGTAGGTAGTTCATTATGGCTTGATGAAGCGTGGCATTGGTTCGTAACCGTTGAGAACAACAATTTGGTCGAAGGTTCCATACTCAAGATGTTTGTTAGGTGAGCCATACAATGATTTGAAGCGTGCTAGAATGTAAAAAATCCGTTGAGAATTGCTCATCTCTTTGAATTGCTTCATTGCGTTTATTAGGCTTTCTGTCGAATGCCCTGGATCTGTTGATTGGTCAGATAAGCTCGATGTCGTCTTCACAAAAGTATGTTTATATACATGCTGTTTTAGAGAATGTTGATTATACGTTATTATTCTACCACTAAATTCTACGGGCGCTCTACAATATTTTTCTCAAGTTACTTTTTAATAGCTTATTCGCTCTTTTCGCCTTGGCAATGTAGTGGGACTCTGCCAACAGTTCAATCTCGAAGGTGCATCTGGTTTCATCACTTATGTAATGGGCACGGAATGCCATGATAAGTAAGTCATCACCATTCAGTTCCATTTGTGTTTTTTTTCGTCAAACTCCTTGAAATTGTTCTTTCCAGGCTGATGAGTAAGCTAGAATCTGTATTCCTTCTTGTTGAATCTTACTTACATCCGTCAAATCACGGTATGCATACACAAAATCTACTGATATTCATGAACAAGTAAGTTTCCCTCTATCTCCAGTTTAGGTTTTCTGCTTCACATCTTAACTGATTAACTTAAAAATGGTTATTCTAGACTTTCTCTTTGTCTGCTTTCTCGCGTAAAACGGGAGCGGATGGAGAAGACGTCGAGTAAACAGCGCACATTTATAAAGGTAAATTGTTTGGCATGTCCTGCTCAGTTGCGCATC